TTTCGACTTACGATTCATGTCAACATTGCGCAAAAGAAATGAGTTCAAAGGCATAAGCGTTTTCTGAAAAAATTAATCTGTTAAATCGATCGACCCGCGTGTAATATCATATTATAATATATTATACACGGACCGCGGGATAGTTCTGCAGGCCATGCATACGGTGTAATAAAAACCTCGGGCATCGTAGTCGTCGTCATCAGGTCGAGTTAGGTCGGGGGTGTTATATTATTATTATTATTTCAATTGCGGCCGATCGATCGGCAGACCGAAATCGACGATTCGGGATCGCAAAGCGTTTTTCAATAATATCAATAATACAGGTAGTAAAAAAATATGATGCGACGGGCGCGAATTTTGAGCGCGAGTCCCCGCGCGAGTGATGGGGCCCGCTTTAAATCACCGCCGGTACGTATGTGTACGACGACCCACACCCATATAATATTATATCGTACAATAAAATATTGTTCCGTGTTTGTGTGTGTATTATTTGTATTATATTATAGCGCCAGAAAATAAAAACGCTTTTAAAGTATTGATTTCAACAAATAGTTCCGTACGACCGCGAGATGGCTGCATAATCCGCCCGCAGACTTACGTACGTGAGATCTCGAAACATTTTTACATCACTCTCCTGTTTTGAATTACATGTTTCTTAATCCGGTAGTCGAGCGCAAGACGGGGTTGTAGGTCGGTATTCTTTCTTGTTCTCTCGCCGTCTCTCCCTCTCTTTTTCGTACGTACCATCTCTCCTCTCTTTATTTTTGCTCTCCCCCCCCCCTCTCCCCACCCGACGTTTCGGCGGGAAGGCGGGGCGCGGTGAGTTATCGATATATATATATATATATATGTGTGTGCGTATATTCTGTACATCTATATATATATATATATATATACTATATAAACCGTACAAAACGTAATTTTTTTCGAACCCCACCATTAAACTCGGATTACAGAAAATCGTTAAACGTACCATTGTAATGTGTTACACAAATATCTGGCGATAAAACCATTCGTTCTATTTCGCTATTGATGGACCGAAAACGAAAAACTAACATAACTCACCGCGAAGGCCTCCTCTTTTTTCCTTTGCTTTTTCTCACCGTTTTTTTTTTTTTTTTTTTTCATTCCGTCACGAACCGCGACCGGGAAGCGATCGTTTCTAATAATTAACTCGAACGCTGCGATTTCATATTATATTATGTGGATGCACATAAACGCGTTGTATGCGATAAAAACGGCAAACAACGATCGACTGTCTAAGATACGCGGAATGTCTAACATATTTTGAGACCGGCTAATAATATTATAGTGAAGAGAGTAAAAAACGGTTGTAACGAACGAGAAATAGTTCGTGTTTGGTGGAAGAATTCCGCGCGTTGTACAACGTAACGTGTAATAATATTGTACATGTCTGTCGGAGTGAAAGACTTCAAATTTTCGAAGTGTCTTTCATGGTTGGCCAAAAATATGGCCTTCTCAAATGTGCCAGACAAGGTCTGAGGCGAGCTCTATCCCAAAAACTCGACCGCGGTTCGATTATTGACATTTGACGTACATCGTTATACCCATTGTACGCGACAATATGCAGTTTCGTGTAAACTTTTAACGATTCGATGCTCGTCCAGATGGATTTATCGTTTATAATTATCCGTATGTCTTTGTAAAATTGTGATTTTTTACCTATGCGCGTTCACATCATCTCGAGTTTGGACGATGTACAAATAGTCGCAAAAACGTAAATATTTGTAAATTGTATGGTTATTTCCAGATCATTGTCAAAAGAATCAATTGTCAAATTGTTGAAAGATCATTTTCCAGATGGGTACTTCAAAATGCGTTATTAAAAAAATAACGCTGTCCACAACCGAATGACAAAATGCGTACAGTGACAACAATATGTGTACAATACACGATAATATTATAGACAATTATTGTTGATCGACGACATTAGAACGGTTTGTTTGTTTATAAATTACGCAATAAGAATATGTCCGATGTATAGTTTACTACGAATTTAAAATCCCATGTAGGTATTCGTGATAGTTTTTTCTGATTGTTGTTTTAATCCGATTGTATGATAATTTCAACTCTCTATAATATAGTCTATACCACCACCACGAGCTCGTCTAGAGGAGGTAGAAATCATCGTAAATCGTATTTATTCGTCTGACGGTCTGATTCAGTGATAATAATAAAATAAGAAATATGCCTGGGCACGCAGTAGCGGATAAAGTGTCTCGGATTAAAAACGACGACTATAGACTGCTTGTGCACACTTGGGAGAGTGCGTGCGACGCAGAGCATTTGTTATTAACTGGTTATAAACAAAAATAATATTCCTCTCCATACGACGGGCGGGGTAGGTATACATATGGGGTAGAATCGCATTGTCGAGATATGAAAATATAAGGTCGTAACGATATTATACGAGTGTAACATAATAACGGTCGGTAGAATAATAATTACTATATTATTATATTGTACCTTTTTTTTTTTTTCGCCACAATATTATAATATATTATTATTGTGGTACGGTGGCGGAGGCGGCGGTAATATTCTGATACTGATACGGACGTACGGTAATAATTTACTAATTTCGAAAAAACCGACAGTATTTATGATTTTTTTTTTTTAATAATATTTTTTAATTATTATACAGCTGATACCGCCGAGTTTTTACCATAAACACAAAGTTCGGCTAATGAAAACTCCATTAATTTAATATTATTATACTTATATTATATATTATATACACCAGGTTTTATGTGTCCCGACGCTGCAGTGGTTTCGTGCGTGAAATTACGTTTTAAAGTGTTATAAAATTATGGATTAACCATCCAAGGGTGTGTATTACTGTATATATAACTATACATGATAAAATATACTTCATACTAACGCACCTCTTATACAGTACCTGTTTCGTTATTTTTTTTTTTTCATTTATTAATAACAACCGGACCCATCCGTATATTAACGGCAGACATATTTTTATATTTTATTTTTTTTTACCTTTAATAGCTCATGGAAATGCAAAATGTCCAAACCTATACGTATTTAATCCCCGAGTCGAATTCATTTATGCACGTGTTCACATTATTATGTACAGGGAGATGGAGTGAGTCCGGTTCGTCCGCGAATATTGTGCGATTCGTTGTAGTAGGTACCCGGGCCGTCCCGAACAAAATAATAAGGAGGGGTGGGGGGGAGGTGAGATACATTAATGCGTCGACTCAAAAAAAAATTCTCTCGCGTCGCTCGACAACTATCTCCTACCTACACGCATTATTGTAATCAGTAGACGTATCTTACACCATGTTACAAAATATTAAATATTTTAGTATAATGTTCTCTATTTTGCTATCTTTTATATAATATATTTTTTCGTCACATCTTGACTAGTATATTGGAATAAAATGTTATCAACAACAAAATGTATAACACTGTTGCATATCGATTATACCACTGTGGAAGGATTGGAATGAATAATGCCTCAACGCACAAAACAACCAAATATTCAATAACAATATTAATTAATATTTTGTTAATACTGCAAATACTGACTACATAATATAAGTGAAACAATTTTAGAATCTTATCACTTAAACGATGTCTAGGTGAGACGAGTCAACATGAAATGTTCTCATTGCTTCTATGAATGTAAATTACAGCCGTCAGCGCACAACAGTTTCTCATCAGCTCTTATAACAGTGTTATTAAAAATAATTCAACGATTATGCAAATGTATAGGCAAATTCGTGTACTGTTATGATATTACATAATATGTGTTCATTGTTAGGTACTTAAATATTATTATACTATTTGTGTTGGACAGTTGGCAATCGAAAAATTAACATAATTCCTTCATATTATTATAAACTACAATACATTAATATGACATATTTGAACTTTGTAGTACTTACAAAATTATTTAAACATTATAATTTGCCGAATGCCAACTCGAATACTTAATATATCAATCTGCCAACTGACATATATATATTGCACGCTTAGACACTCCCTAGAACCCCCTTCTCGAAGGCCTTATTGGTAGGTCCCCATTATACGAGTGCAATAATTAGTCGGTTTTAAAATTGTCGAGTTAACTAAGTTTTCAATCGTAACACTGATTCCACTCATTTTTAATGTCCAAATGGCAGGGAAAGAAAAAATTATTAAAAAAAAAGCGCAAATTAAAAGTTCAATTATTATACACCCAATATCTCATATTATTCCTCGGTGCGATTAAACGGACAAACCATTTCTACTTCATCTAAAAATCATCAAACTACAGGTGGCAATTGGAATTTAGGTGCGTCTACTCGTTTGTCGATTTCTACGTTTCACGTAATATCATAATTTCGTGTCTGTATTTTTAAGGGTTAATATCTATATATTCCCCGTATTCGCTCTCGTCTGACAATTCCTGCTCCGTTATCGATGTTTTTTTAATTTCATATTTTCCGAAGCTAAATATTTCACTGAAAACGTCAACGTTTAAATATCGAATATCGAACGAATATTTTATTATTTATAAGCATATAAAGTTTCGGAGAACGGACTGGTGCGGGAAGGGCAAAAATATTCTTTTACTTCGCGAGTTTGCACTGCACCGCTCTTCCGCACCATAAATGCTTATAAATAATAAACTATTGATTCGGTATGTACGATATAATATTTTATGTATCAAAATGCTCGGAAAAATATTCAATTGCCGGGTACGGAATTAAAAACAAGTGTTGCCATTTAAGGGACGAAAAAAAAATAAAAAAATAGAGACGATGCGCGTATGGATTCGAAACGTACAACAGTCGTCGTGTAGCGACACGCCACCCTGTGCACATTATTATTGTTTTTCGCGTTCCACTCATACCGCACCGTAATTTATGCTCAAATGTATATTATATTATATATTTTCGCGCCGGCTCGCATTTGTATAATATACCTACGCAGGCGAAACACGATTCGCGGTAATTTTCCACGTGTTGTGTATGACTTACCCACGACGTTGAGCTGGAATGCCAAACTCATTTTGGGTTCGGTATTCACTTGGCATTCATAGATTCCGGCGTCTCTCGGTTGAGCAAATTTAATCAGTAGGGTCCAATTGTCCGAGTTATCCGGGTGGATGACTTGGAATCTCTGGTCACTGGTGTAAGTCAGCACTCCTGCCGTCAGTATGTGCAAGTCTCTCTTCCGCATCCACGATACCTGTGTGCACACGTCAAAAACAACGCCGTCAACAACAGTATATAATAACGACGACGACGACAACAACAACAACAACAACAATAATTATTATAACAGCAACAACAACAACAACAACAAAAACAACGAATCGTATTCGTTTCTCGGTTTTATACGAGTCGCGCAGTACACAGTACGGCCCAAGCGCATTATTGGCGGCAAACATATCGGCGCACGACCCATCATATTGTAATATGAACGAATTTCAAACGCTCCGCGACCCGCGGGACTCCGAGGGAACTAGGATATTCTCGAGGAATTTTCCGACTGAATCGTTGATATCGCGACGACCGGTAAAAATATATCAACAAACATTATAGCCATATATAATTAAAAATATCTTTTTTTTTTGAAAAAATGTACAAAGGGATCGATACGATGATATACCGTCGTGTGCGGGCGTTAAGCGTCTCACGCGCATAACTTAAATCCGTACGATTATTACGCATTAAGTCGACATTGGCGGAATACGATTCTGCCCACTGAATTAATCAGTGAGACGGTTAGGTTGGGTCGATTGGTTTTTAAATGGGTTTTCGTATATAATATATTTATATAGTTCACATGACGTACAATAACTTCTACCCACAGTGTGACACATTCGAAACACTTGATTATTTATTTTGTACTTCGATATTTTATTGTAATGCGTTGACCACGTTCATTATTAAACGATATGAGTAAGGACAGGATTTTTACCTATAACCTAATGTACGCAATGATTCATCAAGTGTGCTCGCCTCCTCGCTTTCTTCAATAATGCAGTTACTCAAAACCTGTTTTCTTAAATTTTCAAATAATACTTTAAGTCCATGTTTTCAAATCTTTGAGATTTTTCTACTACTTAACGAGCGTCCTGTGTCCACTGTATGAGTATTTGTCGAGTTCCAAGGATAAAAGGTCCATAGTAATGAGTTTATGAGATATGGGGCCTGTGGTGATTTGAAAATTGTAGTCATTAATATTAATGTATCGTAATAATTTGGAAAAATTTCCCAAGTATAATAAATACTAGATCCAATTTTATGTCTATTTTATGTTTATGTAAAATCAGTTTTAAGGACTATTATCAAAAAAAAATTATACACTAATTAATTTCCAGTAAAAGGGGGGATGGGGGGGGGTTAATTAAAAAAAAAAGAAGAAGTTTATATCACTAGAGCGCACTCCTTAAGTAGCAAAAAAGAATTTAAGGATTTGAAAACATGGTATTTGAGTATATTTTAGAATAAATTCATAATTTAAGGCAAATAATAGAGGACGAGCATGCTTGGCGAATCACTCGGTTCATATTATATACCATCACAATTATTATAGAATACCTTATAACAGGGATGGGCAACTCAAAGCTACTAGAGGGCCAATTTTTAGAAATTTAAAATCTAGCGGGCCAGAGCATAGAAAGCAAAAAAAAAAAGTCATTCAAAATATAGATTTTAATTAGCATTTATTTTGTTTATAATGAAATAGGTAATACAAAAAGCGTTATTGAAAATAATTTAATTAAATATTTAAATATAAATAGTTATTCGCAGTTTAGTGAGAGTTTTGAGGATGTGTGGCTTCTAATGACAACGCGGCAAAATCGATTTGTATACCTATACCTAATGCAATTTGAAAATGTAGCGCGGGCCGCCAGTTTCCCACCCCTGCCTTATAATATAGTATTGTACAGAGTGTTTGCTCTCCATTGAAGTTATACGCTTTATGATTCATCAATATTATTTTATATTTTGAAATAAAATACTAGGAATTTCTTTAAACCTAATTTTATGATGTTCGATTTACTATTAAAAACGAAAGTTCGTTTTGAGTTTCTCAGAAATATTCGAGACAGCAAGCTCATAGATTAAAAATATTATAGTTTATAACTTGTGTAAACGTTTTGAAAATTGAATTATTAATTTCCAATAAAACGGTTAGTTGTAAGTTTTTTTAAAGTTTAAGAGATACACCGTATACGGGTGGATATCACATATAGTATATACGTATACGTTGTGAAACACTGTATATTATGAATAATATGTTAACAATTATTATTATTATCATTGTTATAATCATAACTTTCACGATGTTTCATTTTTTACCGAACAATTATTTTCATAATAATATTACAATTTTAACAAATGTTTATATTTTTTTGTTGGTTATAATAATGGGGTTTTCCGATTATTGAAAACAGTTCTGAGCATTTTCAATTTCTATCTCCCCGAAAGTAGGTACCAACTAAATGCAATCTTTCATTAGAATCTTCCATTGAAGATAATTTTTTCTACTAAAAAAGTGTCTCCGGAAAAACAAATCATTGCAACGATCATCACTTTGCTCGGAATCTAAATTGCAATAAATATCGATAATTATTATGCTTAAGGACCGCTGGGGCGTTATTTCGCTTTCAACCGAATACAGCTGGTATTAGTGGGCCATAGAAAAATAATAAAAATCACAATCAAATATTGTTTTATACTTTTATAGTTTTATGTAGGTATTTGAATTCAACATTATATTATTGTCATGTTTTGGTATGGACTGACATGTGTACAACAAATACAGTTTTCCCTCTAATTTATTTATTGAATCAAAAATAACCGCGGGAAATTACATTTTTACTAAAGAAAACAAATTATAAATACAAACAAATCAATATTTATTTTTGTTTATAAAATGTTTGCATCTGTCTCTACATCATCAAGTCAGAAAATACGTGGAAAAAACTTTGATAAATAATGGATACTTCTGTGTTATATTCCGGTATAATTTTATGGTTGAGATTACATAATATTTAAGGCATAACTGCACAAAAATGTATTGTAACGTGGACGATTAATGTAAAAACTAACCAAAATGGCCCTCATAATTTTTTTAACGAATATGCCATCGCGTATTAAAATTAAACGCATACTTTGCTATAAAGGCAAGACAAATTTAAATAAAACTGCAACAAAATCACCGAGTTAGAATTTTTCATCAAAATCTGTATTGTACTCTCATATATATTTACGGCTTGTCCGAGTACCAGATGATTTCAAGTAGAGGATTAGTGAGTGGGAACGGATTTGGGATACTTGGCTCACTTCGCTCGTCTCGGCACAAGGCAGTGAATTATTATATTATTATATATCGTTTTTTTTTAATTTGATACCGATGAATAATGTTTCGATAAATCATGGAATTCGAAAAACGATTTTAACCGGAATACATATTATCATACTTACATGTTTATAGTACATTTTTCAAATTTTAAGTACTCATAAAAATAATTTATGAGTTAAGATTTCAGAATTTATTGAATACGAAATACATAATATGCTAGAGCAACGTTTCGTATTGAAACGTCAATCCTTTTAATAACTAAAACTACAAATTGAATAGGGAAAAAAATTCGTTTTTAGTCGATTACAAACTATGTTGAAGTTGCACCTACTGCTTATACCAGTTTATCCATAGGTTCCAGCAAACGATTAAATAAAATAAAGACACATTTGCGACGTATGGAGCGCTTTGCTGAGAAACTAAAATAGTAAACCGTTCAAACGAATGCCAATGGTTATAATTTTAAATTAAATAACCACAAAATATAATTCAATTCAATGCTATACAAACGGTATTTGGAATGATAATTCAGCTGGACGTTTCAGTATTTCATCAAAATTTAATTTAAATTTAAACAATAAAAAAAAAATGAAAAATGAACGAACTAGGATTAAATTAATATCGAATTGGTAGACGATTTGACACGATGCGAAAACCATTTCTTACTTTTAAACCAGTGCAATATTTATATATTTTGGTAAAAATGTAATTTAGGGACAAAAAATGGTCTGAGGCGGTCGCAAAAAAAAATACTGTATAGGTACTATACTATAAAAACAATACGATATCGAATTTGTCATATTTCGGGGGAAGAGAGAAAAAAATGAATTCCCTTTACCTACCACAGTGTCTGAATAAATGAAGATAAGACTTGTTTTCAACCATTTTCTAATCTAGAAGCCAGCCTGTCGTGGGATCGCAATTACATTGAACATTTGGAAACAACTATCTCTCTCACTCGACAAAGTAGTAACGACTTCCGTAAGTTCACTGTTGGTGTGTCGATTGAAAGAGAAATGAAAAAAAAAAGAGGATTACTCGAAGATATTATGTTATATGTTCGTACGTTGCATAGTTGGGAATTAATAAAGATGGACTTTTAATTATTTACGAAATGGATTATATATTTATAGAGGGTAATATATTAATAATTGACATTGTATTATAACAATATTAGAAAAATATTATATTATATTAGAATAATGTTGAAATAAAATATCTCGTCTCATTGATATTGTAAGTGCCGAAATATATTTTAGGTTATCATAAATGTTGTGATATAAATTTCTTTTCTTATAACAGTATTACGTTTTGGGGAAATATAATGGAAATATCTGTTAGTCTTAAGCCCGTAAGTATATTTCCGTTGGTTTTCAGGTCAATGAATACATTTTAAAATTTTACAACGTTTCAGTAATGGAAAAACGTTAAAAGGGGACGATTATTAAACTGCTTTTAAATTGTTGTCGATCAATTTTTTTTTTTTTTAATATTAAAATTTAGTTATTTCAGCACTTACGGGTATTGGAAAACGGGTTAATAATAATATATGATAATTACCATTTAATATCCAAACATTTAGTTTGAACACGTTTCTATTTTATCGTTAAAGTCAATATCAATAATATCTAACTTAATATTCGTTTATTAAATTAATTAATGGATATTTTCGATTCCGGCTGTAGAGTGAGGAAGCTACATCGGTTGTACTGCAGTATACCTATAATGCGTTTTATTTGAACTGCACTCGTTGGGGCGGCAAACGTGTACCGAATAATTCATCAACGGTGTTATAGGTAGGTACCTATCGCACATGTGCAACGCACTGGAAGTGTTGAATAAGTACTATACTGTTATATTGTAAAATATAT